CTGGTGGCCAGGAGCAGACTTGCAGAATGTGCCCTTTGGAGATGTAAATTATTGCATATGCCTAAGTGGGTTTTTTTGTTTGTGTGTTTTTTAAAAAGCTAAAGTGGATACAGAGAAATTCGTTTAACTGATGGTATATGGAGGGGATTATAATTAATGTAATGAAACAAGTTATACGAATTGTTGAACGTGAAACTGATGATGTGTCCTATAAAAATCCACAATAAAAACCTTAAATTAAAAAAAGAAAGAAAGAAATGGTTTTAAGTAGGAGAAGTGAGATACCAGATCGCTGTTTTAGAAGCAGGCTTGAGAAAGGATTTGAAGCGAGCAAGTTTACAGACAAGAAGACCAGGTAATTCAGGCAAGAGATGATGATCTTCGGAAATGGAGTGGTTACTGTTTTTAGGTGCCCTCGAGTCAGTTCCGACTCATAGTGACCTGATGCATAACAGAACAAAAAACTGTTTAGTCTTGCACCATCCTCACAATTGTTACATTTGAGCTCATTGCCGATGCCACTGTGCCAATCCAGCTCCTTAGGGGTCTTCCCTTTTTTCACTGACCCTCAACTTTACCAAGCATGATGTCCTTCTCCAGGGACTGGTCCCTCCTCATAACATGTCCAAAGTATGAGAGACCAAGTCTCACCATCCTGGATTCTAAGGAGCATTCTGGCGGTATGTAGTTCTTCCAACACAGATGTGTTTGTTCTTCTAGCAGTCCACGGTACATTTAATATTCTTTTCTAACACCATAACTCCAATGAATCAATTCTTCTAAGGCCTTCCTTATTCACTGTCCAACTTTCACATGCATACGAGGCAATTAAAAATGGAGTTGCAGTAGTGAGGATACACAAAATTTTTTGGATTTACTATATATTTAGGAGTCAAATCTAAAAGGCATTATTAAGTAACATAATACGGGAAACCTCAGTGAACACTAGTACTGAAAAAGAGAACCCACGGAGAGTTTGCGTATCTGAATCTGAGATGTTTACGTGAACTAGTGTGGCACTGTACGAAAAAGCACTCGACCATAAGGTCAGTTTGAACTGCAAGGATGGCAGTTCAACTTTACCAGCTGTTCCTCAGAAACACTAAACAGGGTCATCCATGGTGGGCAGATTCTAGTGGAGACTGCAGAATAAAGCAGACTTGGAAGAAAGAGGAGTATTCTCTCCACTTCTTCTAGGGTACCACCTACAAATAATTATTGTGGAATTGTTACAGGCCTTTGGAGTCCTGGTGTGGCACTGTAGGATAAGCATTGGACTGCTAACTCCAAAGTGGACAGTTCAAACCCACCAGCTGCTCCTTGGAAACCCTACACTGGAACCAACTTGATGGCACTTAACAACAACATAGGCCTTTGAGGTCACAGGTTTTACAGTTTCGAATGAGTATAAGTGCTGGCAAGCATTTCATTTAATAAAATCAAGACTGCTTTTTTGAAAATAATAATTTCAATCTACAGATGGAATAGACTTGGTACTTTGTATTTAGAAAATGATGATGACTACTAGCTCCAAAGTTCAGTGTAAAAATCAACTTTGAGCATTAAAAGAAACAGTCATTATCTGAGAATACTAGTTTTATACTAGGATACATATTTTTTAAAAATTTAAATAGGCTTTTGAAATGGCAGTAGTTTTTCTACTGAGGAGAGAGCTAACTCCTGAACAGCAAAGGAAGTTGGTAGGCCATCTACAAGTCCCGTGGAGAGTGGAGAAGGAAGAGCTGCATCCTCGTTTGCAGGAAGTGGTACCCTCATGAGAGCCCCGAACCAGAGAGACCAAACCCGTTGCTGCTGTTTTGACTCTTGGTGAGAACTGTGACCCGTATGGTTGTCATGGCTGTGATCTCTTAGAGACAGATTGCCAGATCTTTCTTCTGAGGACTCCCTGGGTAGGTTCAAAATGCCAACCTTTCTGTTACTAGGCAAGTGCTTAACCATTTGTGCTACTTAGGGACTGCTTTGTAAGTGTCCAATATACACTGAAATCTATTCTGAAGCCATTATTTCTAAAGTGCCACTCCCAAAGTCTAAAACTGCTTTGAAATAAATCACAAGTTTTATTTTTTTCTTTAAGGAAACAAGTGAGGTTGACACTGCTGTTGACAGAGGCCAATTAAACCACATAGATACACACACATGCATCCATAATATGCAGAGGTTAGAGAGGTAGTTTTAGATATTAATAATGCTTTATTTTCTTAAAAACGATCATTTTATAGCTAACTTATAACTATATATGATATGCAATTACTATTATTACCGCCATGAACATACATTAATTCCTAAAATCACATTGTGCTATAAATATTATTATCTCTATTTAAGTGCTGCTAAACTGAGGTGTCTGGTAGCGTAGTGGTTACGAATCGGGCTGCGAACCTTAAGGTCAGCGGTTCGAAACTACCAGCCGCTCCGCGGGAGAAAGATGAGGCTTTCTACTCCCGTAAGGATTTACACCCTCGGAAACCCTGTACAGGGTCGCTATGGGTCGGACCCGACTCGATGGCACTCAACAACAACAACAACAACAACAAACTGAGGTGTGAAGAAATTTAAGCAACTTGCCCAAGGATGTTATTTCTAATACATCGGGGGAGTTAGGAGCTGAAACCAGATTGAAAAATCTGTTTTTAACCACTGTGCTAGGTAACTACTAATTTGAAATTAATTAAAATTTAATGGAAAATTTATGTGATGATTGGGCTTAATCTGAAAAAAGAAATCCCCAGTAAGAATACTTCAAAAGGAATCAAGGTCTTGCATAATTTTTCTTTTATTAAATCTATTACCTGTCTGTTGGTGGTTTCTCTTCATATTCAGTTTATTTCCTAGAAAAAATATTCTTATACTTAGAAAAAACAACCCATAAAAATCTGTCAAGTTTTAGAACCCTAAAAAGAATGCATATTTCAACAGCAACTAGAGGGACAAAGTGTCCATTCACATATACTGAGGTGCCCTTATTTATTCCTGTCTATTGTAACATTCAAGGAGCTCTGGTAGCGTAGTGGTTACGAATCGGGCTGCGAACCGTAAGGTCAGCAGTTTGAAACTACCAGCTGTTCTGCACGAGAAAGATGCGGCTTTCTGCTCCCGTAAAGATTTACAGCCTCGGAAACCCTGTATAGGGTCACTATGAGTCGGAACTGATTCCATGGCACATAACAACAACAATGTTCTAACATTCAGTTTGAAACTACCAGCTGTTCCACGGGAGAAAGATGAGGTTTTTTGCTCCTGTAAAAATTTGCAGCCTTGGGAACCCTGTGCAGGGTCACTAAGAGTCGTACCTACTCCACGGTCTTTAACAACTACAACAACAATTCTAACATTAAGGAGCTCTAGTAGCGTAGTGGTTATAACCTCAAGATCAGCAGTTCGAAACTACCAGCTGTTCTGTGAGAGAAAGATGAGGCTTTCTGCTCCCGTAAAGATTTACAGCCTCGGAAACCCTGTATGGAGTCGCTGTGAGTCTGAACTGACTCCACGGCACATAACCACCACCATTCTAACATTCCTATGTATCTACACACATTTTCACTATTCTGGATTGTCAGGTTTCATTTCTCAAAATTTCATTTATTGTTCTATCGTTTGCATAAATTTACACTAATGAGTTACTAATAACAAAAATTCCTACGTTAAGCACAGTACTTAAATTACATGTGTTAGAACTCAAAACTACAGTGAATTTGGAAATAAGGGGGCTACACATTAAACTAAGAAACAAATGTTCACCTATTTTGAATAACTGACTTTTGAAAAATAAACATTAATAGCCCAAATTTGGCCTCTCCTTTGTACTCCTTACCTCAGGTTGACTGGAGATATTCAAAATGAGAGCCCACAGCTCAGCTCTCAGGGCCGTGGGGCTTCCTTGTCTGACATACTGCTGAGCCGCGGCGCTATCTTCTTCCGCTAAAACTGTCAAACGGAAAACCCGTAAAGTAAAAGTGGCATGGACATGTTTCATTTACAATCTCTTAGGAAACTTTATAGCTAACAGTATTACATCATTTCTTGACAACCTTCGTTTACTCTCCGAAGTTTGATACAACTCTAATCACAGTCCTACAAGCTTTAAGCCTTAAGCAAGTCTACCTCCTACCTAGTCTCCTAAAAGTTTTTACTTGTAGGTAACTTGAGCTTACTTTACTTTAGCTATAGCTCCATGTATCAGAAGTCAGTGATGCCTATGTGCGATAAGTTTAGAATTCCACAACCAAGTGAAGTCATATCTATAGACACCCTGAAGTTCTTCTCCATTTTCTACTAAACCCTAATAGGTACAGGTACATGGGAAGTGAAATGGCTATAAATTATTATCATGTACAAAAATTTTAAATGTCCATTCTATTAAATGGCTAGCCAGTCAACTGCCAAAATCAACAGAAAAGAGGCTTTTTTCAAGAAGTGAAAACAAAAAAGATAACTTTTTAAGAAATCTCAAAATTATTCTTATACAGCCTAGTTCACAAAATTAATACATTATCCTTTTGCCTTCCTTTCCTTTAATGAAAAACAACAACAACAAATCAGCTATTTAAAGTGGACATACAGACCCGAAAGGAAGAAAGGCTGTCGGACAAGACAGCTGCTGAAGCGGGACTACCAGAACCATTATAGCCCCTCCCTTCTTAGAAAGCCCAATGAAAAAGACACGGCCGTAAGAAACCGAGGGAGGGACCACATTAAACAAAGAGATGAAGCACAATCTTTCATTGGCAGTTATGGTGAATGAAAGAGTTAAATCATACACATGAAACCTTTCAAACAAAAATAATTTTGAAAACTTGCAATGAGGGAGTCTGGTGTCTGACAGTACGTATCATTGCCATAGAAGGTTCGTCTGACACAGGACTTAGCTGCATTTCATATTTCAAAGACAATAAAATAGGGACTTATAAAAACAAGGCAAATAGCACCTTCAGAAGATAGGGAAATGCTTTTCGCACAACACTAAGCACCGCCTGGGCTATTCAGTGTTCCCACCGTGAACAGACATCAGGAACAATAGGCACATTTTGTGCTGGTGTAGAAGTGTACTTCCATTAACACTAATGAGAAGTGTGTGGGCGCATCAAAAAGAGAACCGGCCTCTTTGATTTTGAAATGAAATTCTACTGCTGAATGGATCAAGCTAGCCTCCCGGAGGCATGTGCATCTGCATGTGTTATGGGAATCAGCCGTGTACTTCTTGATAGGACATTTGTGGATAAAGCATAAATGATGCATTTCATCTCTTTATAAAGAGGCTCATGATACTATCTACGTAGTTAGATGTTATTTGTGAGGTTTTAAACTTCTCAAAGAGGATAGAGACATCACTTGGGATTATCTGAGTTTTCAAAAATTATGACAAATATAAGCAAAAGCTTACCTTTCTGTCCTATACGCACATGTTCATTTTCAAAAAGTTCTAGGAAATGTTCAAAGAAAATAAAATCATTAGGCACAAGTATGACCAGCTATGGAGTCCTAGCATGGCGCCTGCTGTAGTTAGGCACTGGACCACAAGGTCAGTTTGAGCCACAGGGTTGGCAGTTCAAACTCACCAGCTGCTCCTTGGAAACCCTATGCAGGGTTGGTAGGAGTGGTAGTAGTCAGAACTGACCCAACAGCACTTATCAGTAACAATGTAACCAACTATGTATTTGTACACATAACACTAAGTACTTTTTTCTGGTACTGATACATTTAATTATTTTTAAAGCATAACGACACTATAAAAAAATTAGGAAAATATTTTTCTTTGTATGTAGAAAAACTTTAAAAAAATCTAAGTTGTTTAAAATTTATAGAAAATAGAGGGAGTAAAATAGGTTTCATAAGAAAACTTGATAAGCTAATTTTTCCTTTATTAAAATAAGCGTATGTTTCCATGACACATTTCCATGTTCATTTATCTTTGATTATTTTTCTTAAAAACAACACACACGTACACACACACACAACTTATTGACAGCTTCATTTGCAAAGTCCCACTTCCATTTTAATCTCAAGTTGCGGATTAATGCACTGGACTGCAAGGTTGGTTTGAACAACAAATGTCTGAAGTTCAAGCTTACCGACTGCTCCCTGGAAACCCTATACAGGTTCGCTATGAGTCAGAAATGACTCATAGCACTTAACAACAGCAACAACAACAAAGTCTAATATCATATAGGCAAGTGTACTATTATACAAATGCCAATTTTAAAAGTTATGTTATTGTTGTTATTAAGAGCTATTGAATCAGTCCTCATAGAGACCCTATGTAAAGTTTCCGAGGCTGTAAATCTTTATGAGAGCAGAAAGCCTCATCTTTTTCCTGCAAAACAGCTGGGAGCTTCAAACTGCTGACCTTGAGGTTAGCAGTAACCATTACGCTACCAGAGCTCCATATAAATGATTTTAAGGGAGGTAACTTTTCTTTCTCTTAAAAGTGTATACCAATCACAAAAGAAAAAGGTTCATAAATTGGACCATATTTAAAAACAAAGCCAAAAACCCTTCTGTTCATCAAAAGACTCAAATGTTGTTAAGTGCTGTCGAGTCGGTTCTGACTCATATCGACCCTGCATAGGGATTCTAAGGAGTGGCTTGTGGGTTTGAACCATGGAGTTGATTCCAATTCACAGTGGTCCTATTGGACAGAGTGGAAGTGCACCATTGGGTTTCCAAGGCTGCGATCTTCATGAGAACAGTTGGCCACACCTTTCTTCTGCAGAGCCACTGGTGGGTTTGAAGCTAGGACCTCGCGGCTAACCGCCCAGTCCTTTACCACTGCATCATCACGGTTTCTTACAGCTCTCTTGGAAAGAAGGAAAAGGGATGGAGGTCAGCAGGGTGAGAACTGATGAATGGGCCAAGGCTGGCTTTGTACCTACGTGGTTCAAGCTTACCAGCTGCTCTTTGGGAACCCTATACAGGGTCGCTGAGTTGAAACAGACTCAATGGCACTTAACAACAACAAGTTTTGATAATAATAAAACCTCTAGTTTAATATTTGGCACCCTGGTGTGCTACTGGACTGCTAACTGCAAGGTTGCACCCACCAGCCACTCCTGTGAAATCCTATACAGGGGCACTATGAGTTGGAACCAACTTGATGACACTTAGCTTAAGTTTGATACATAAAATGAAAACACTGAGGTAAAATCAGAAGAGTTTTCTTAATCAGAGAATGAATACATGCTTAATTTCTTTTCAGTGTTAGATAATATTTTGAGATTTTAAAATAATCTGTAAAGCTGGGGGTCTACTAAATAGATTATTTGAACCACAGGACCCTCAACTCTTAGTTTATTTTGTTCCTAATGTATTCAAAGTAATTAGTAGAAGAGGATAAACAAATGACCAACTAATGTGCTTGAGGCTCCTGCCAACATATAATCGTTTTCTATCACTATAGTATTTAAATATATTTATTTCAAAGAATATATATATAAAACACCACCAAACAGCTTTATTTTATGAGTGCCAAGACTAAGTAAACAAAGAATCAAAATTTGTCAGCCAATTCTTGTCTCTAGTAAAAGTGGATGATACTTTATATTATAAAATAGACACTGGATGGGGAGAGAAAGGAACAGCGAAAAGCATCACCATAGAAAGCTTGTAAATCCGTCTTCTGCCTATAACTGATTGGAATCCCTAAAATGGGGCTACAACGTGCCCAGTGAAGGAGGCTTCCTGCGGAGCCTCTGCAATACATAAGACTATAGGTGGAAGCCTGAACCACATCCAGATCTCCAGAGATGGGAAACTCCCACTTGAAAGGACAAGCAGACCAGCCTGGAGTGGCTAGAACAGAAAGATAATTCTTGAAAGAAAGACCTATAGGAAAAACATATAACAACATAGGCAGACTGACTGTTACTACAAGAACAAGCAACTTGCTTGTCCAGGAAACATCAAGGCAAGTGGTCGGGTCCCCTCAGTGCAAACCCCCTTCCAAGACTAAGACTCAATGGGAATACACGCTCTGATTGGTGACCACGCTCAACACCAATAAGGGGAAGTGAGGGAAAAACTTTTAGCAAGGAAGCGGTGAGCTAAGCCCTACAATGTTCAATAGACTTCTGTGAAATCGGGTGGAGACCTGGTTGACCAGCAGTGTGGCAAGACCTGGGGACTCTTGGGCCCAGAGTCAGTGACATAGCCACAGAGGTCTAGAATGGAGAGTGAAGCGTCCAGCTGATAAGAAGAGAGGGCATATGCATAAGAACACCCACACTTGCAGATAATACCCACTTATCCTGGCTTCAGTGACTGGATGACCAGAGCTCAACCAGAAGTAAAAAGAAGAGGAAAAAAAAAAAAAGTTTTCTCATACAATTTGATGAACTTGACCTACACCTATGGAAGCAGTAGCTCAAAAGAGGGAACAAGTCCTTAAAGCAAAAATCATTCCCACCCCCTCCACACACAGAGTAGACAGGGATGGGCAACTTGGACATTGGCTACCCAAAATGGAGAGTGGGGGGCTACAAAGGCAAGAAGTGACTGGCTTACAAGCTTTCAAGAGGGAACCTAGATCCAGAGGGCCTGGAAGAAGATAGAATCTCCAGTGAGTAGTATTCAATATGTCTAGGTGGGGCTGATACAATGAAATGCAGATGGGGGTCTCTTGTGATACAATAGTGAATAATTGTTATCAGGACCGACTGTGAGGATTGGAAATGTAAAGGTAACCATTTTATAGCAAGGAGGGGAGTGATTAACTTTTCAGTCTAGGGGCGGAGGTCCCTAGGACCATCAAGGGAGAAGAGCAGAGAGCGGGACCCTACCCAGAGAAGCAGTGATGCCTGAAATGGAGCCAGAGATGATGACGTGGAGAGATGGAGCAGCTGGAGACTTTAGATCCAGAGAGGGAGAGTGACTGTGTGCTGAAGACCTGGGGGATATGGGGGAAGGATTGCATGGAGGGGATTGTAACCATGACAATGAGACAATATATGATAGAATGAATGTAAAACTAATGTTCTCCCATGTAAACTATCACATAATTCACAATAAAACATTTAAGAAAAAAAAAAAAGTGGATGATACTACTGAATGATTCTAGTACTTTATTACCCAAGATTAAATAAAATAAACATTAAAAATAACTCATTTACAGAATTTAACCATTCAATTATGTGAAGTGCAATCATTTTCTTTTCCAAATGTCATTTTCTAGCCTGAGAAAGATAAAAGGTTCAAAGAAGTCAGAACCATAAGTTTTCAACATAATACCGGTGCCACTTGGGGGAGCTGTTCTGTTGTGAAGTGACTTTGGGAGATGCTGAGCTAAAAGAGTTTACTTATTCGCAGTCTTTGAGATGCGAAGATAGCATGACCATTCTGAAACCTCAACTGACACCAGGATCCTCTTTTCCAGGGCATCTGATGGGTGCTTCCCGGAGCCCAATTGAAAAATGCTGCTCGCTCCAACTGAAGATGCTTTTTTCTTTTAGAAATGACAAGTTGTAGAAAATGTCTATTCAGCAGAATCCTCATGAAATAAGATTCTATATATTCATTATATACATCCAGCCAAATAATACCACATATATATGCCCTAAGACCTTGTGAAAGAAAGCTAACCCTGCCCACCATGGCTCTTACAAAGGTTTTACTGAATGTATGTATGTGCCGTTCAAAATAAATGCACATCTGTGAGTCTGTATGAAAATGGGTATGCCTTTTGATTTTGTTTTTGTTTTTACACAAAGATGAAGAAAAAAATTGTAACTGATTTTAAATATATATATTATCATTATTTTTTTGCCATCCTCTTCACCCAATATGCGTCTGATGTTTTTAACTGTTGTTATATAAACATTCTATATTATAATAGCAAAGATTTTTCTTTGGACACTTACATAAAAACCATAGTCATAGACTATAAAATAAAAATAAAAGTGAAATCTAGACAAAAATAGTTATATGTGGCCAACATTCTATTTTTTCAAGTGATACTGTTACCTAACAAATCAGGCAAAATCCCAAATGCTATATGATGAAAAACAAATTCATTGGATGAACACTAATTTAACCCAGTTTTTAACAGTACTTCTTTGAAAAGTGTTCTTTGTTGCTATCAAGTCAGTCCCAATTCCCTAGTGACCCCATGCACAAAGAATAATCCATAGGTTTTCTGTTGGATTTTCAATTACCAGGACATTCTTCCTAGTCTGCCTCTGTCTGGAAGCATCTCTGAAACCTGTTCAACATCATAGCCACTCACAGAAGGGTAAAGGATGTGCATGAGGTACACTGGCTGGGAATTGAACCTGGGCCTCCTGCATGGAGGAGAGAATTCTACCATGCAACTACTACTGCCCTCTCTTGGAAAAGTAGCCAGAACAAAATTATCGGTGTCAACTAAGATTGTCAACCTCCTCCTGGCAGGCTTTGATGCTTTTTCCTCAGCAATAACAGTTACTTACATGT